AGGCCCGCCGGCAACAGTGACAGCAGCCACGACAGGGTGGTGCAAACAAGTAGAGCAATACCAGCACCAGGCCCACGATACAGCCCAGCAATGTGGTGAAGCCTGTGTTGAAAGCCTCTGGCTCAGGGCGAGGTTTATGTACACTCACATTGAACTCTAGTGTCTGGTTGTGGTGCAGGCGGGGCCCAGTTGCCAGGCACACAAAGATGCCCGCATGTTGCTCTTGCACCCTGCCTATCGCTAAGCTGCCGTCAGCCAACACAGCAATGCTGCCATCCTGAGATCCTGGTGCCACAAGCAGCTCATTTTTCGGTGAAACCCAGGCCACTCGTGCAGCGGGCACGCTGGTGTTGCAGTAGAGCCTCAGGGACTGCCCCACCTGTGTGTCCAGCTGCTTTTCAGGCAGTTCTAAGCCTAGAGCTGCAGTAGCTGAGCAGTTCTCAAACACCCGGCTGTGCTCAAAGAAGCGCACTCGGGACTCTGAGACCTTGAAGGCCAAGCATGTGTACTCACGTGCAAAATCACGCAGGGCACTTAGACCCCGCTGGTGCCAGCGCTGGAGCAGGTGGTAGAGGCGGCAGTCACAGGGCAGTGGGTTGTTGTGCAGGTAGAGCCCATTCTTGAGGAAAGCTGGCAGTGCAGCCAACCCGGAGACGGAGATGTGTCCCAGCCAGTTGGAGGATAGGTCTAGAGTGCGCAGGTGGGTGGTCCCCAGACCATGCAGACCATTGAAAGAAAAAGAGGCGAGTTCATTGCAGCTGAGATAGAGGTGTCTGAGCATCCTCAGGCCCTGGAAGGCATCCGGGTCCAAGTGCACCAGTTTGTTATTGAACAGGAGCAATCTCTCCAGCCCCCCCAGTCCATCCAGGTCATGCGTGTGGAGTATCCTCAACATATTAGACGATAAGTCAAGTGTCCTGAGGCCACTGGCATTGGTGAAGACACCATGGCCCAGCACATCCAATTTATTGTAGCCTAGGTACAGGGCACGAAGCCGGGAGAGGGGTGCTAACCAGCCAGGGTGCAGGCGTTCGAGTGCATTGTGGCTTAAATCGAGTTCTGCAGCCGTGGCAGGCAATGCTACCGGCACGTCCTGTAAGCCATGGCCAGCGCAGCTTAACACATCGGCAGCACAGATGCAGTTATTGGGGCAGTCGTGGGGAGCAGGGGGCAGAGCGGCCTCCAGATCTGAGGTGCCTGACCCAGCACTCAGCATGCACAGCAGTATGCCTGGCACCACCAGCCCGGCCATGGCAGTGGCCACCAGGGAAGAGATGGGGGGCTCAGTGCTGTCCACAGCTCCGGGACTCACCCACTTCTCTACAGCCTTGCGGGTTGTGGTTCCCTGTGGCCCATGGCTTGAGAGGCACAATGCCGGCTCCACCGGCCCAGCTGCCTCCTGCTCTTCTGGTCTGGGGTTGTGAGGTGGGGCCCCAGCCCTTCTTTAAGCTCGCTAGCTTCTTCAAACGCTTTTCTGACTGGATTCTAAGTACTCACTAGGAAGTGACTGCCCAGGGGTGGGGACCCAAGCTCCCATTGGCTCCTACTGCTAAGGGGCGGGGCAGCCCTGGCACTCGAAGACCCAGTGTGACCACCAGAGGGCCCCAGTGTCTTCAGTTCGCTTGGCTGGAAGCCTGACTTCCTCCCTATTTAAGAGCAAAAGAGCTTAAGTCTGGGGAGAAAGTTTTTTGTGGCTAATGTTCTCTAAGTGATTTTGAAGGATTAATGTATATTAGGTTAGGTGGAATCCGCACCCTTCTCCCTTTAGATTTACTTGTGTGTTGGTGTGTGTGGGGAGGTGTCATGCAGAAAGTCAGAAGACAATTGGTGGGAGTGGTTTTTTTCTTCCATTCTGTGGTTCCTGGGGATCACATTCAAGTTGTGACATTTGGTAGCAAGCAGCTTTCCCCTATGAGCCATCAACAACACCTCTTCCCTTTAAACTGGTAATAGGCCGTTCTGGACCTACTGGGACCCAGGACTTCAGAGGGTTGGTAAACAACAAGATGTAAAGAATGCAGGCATAATAATGAGGCCTCTGGATTGGACGTCACCCCCTCCCCCATGGAGACAATGTCCACACAGGCTCACAGCTTCCCCACTGCCTCTGCACCTTCCCATCTAGGACAGAGCAAGCCACCTCTGTGCTCCTGGCTGATCCCTGCTTCCAGCTCCGGTCCATATGCTACCTCCTGGGGCAGCCAGAGCCCCTAGCACCTGGCACTGCCTTGCCCGCCCCTGACCGGAAGCGCTTCTCTCTACAGAGCTGTAAGTGGGTCAGGGTTGGGTCAGGAAAGAGTTTCAGGGTCTCCTGAGCTCAGGATCCTCAGGAATAGCAAATTTCCTGCCTGGGAGTATCCAAGAGGCACTGAGCTCTGGGCCTAGGAGGGGCCTGACACCACCTACCACTAACCCAGACACAGACTACATCAGTGCAGAGGAGCTCGCCCAGGTGGAGCAGATGCTGGCACACCTGACAGCTGCGTCGGCCCAGGCAGCTGCTGCCTCCCTGGTGAGTGGGGCTAAGACACACAGGCCGGCCCATGCCATTTTAATACATCCGTATACACCAGGGTAGGTACAGGCATAGCCCCAACCCACTCTTCACTCTCCATCCCGTAGCCCACCAGTGAAGAGGACCTCTGCCCAATCTGCTATGCCCACCCCATTTCTGCTGTGTTCCAGCCTTGTGGCCACAAATCCTGCAAGTAAGTGGGCACATGGACTTGGGGTGGCAACTAGGCCACACAAGGCAGTGCTCACTCCCCTTCCTCCTGTAGAGCCTGCATCAACCAGCACCTGATGAACAACAAGGACTGCTTCTTCTGCAAAGCCACCATTGCATCCGTAGAGGACTGGGACAAGGCAGCCAGCACAAGTGCCGCCTCCTCAGCTACCTAGGCCAGCCCGATGCACACAGCTTGCACCGTCCTGGAGCCTCCACCATCAGACCCAGACTGAGCCCTATTTATGAGCTCTCTTGGCCTTTCCCCCATCACCCTCACTCTTACCATCTCCACCCATCTGCCCGTGTGTAGCCTCAATGGTGGCAGCCCAGCCATGGCCCTAATTATGCCTGAGCTTGACTTGCAATCCAGGCCACAGTGAGCATTAAATTATTATTCCATACAGCCCTGGCCCCAGCTCTTCTTGAGGGAGTAGGGCTTGTGGGTTATGCCCAGCAGGATCCTGTCAGTTTCTGTCCCCATCAGAAGGCACATGTCCAACAGCTTCGGATTTCTCCATCCCTCCCTAGACAGACGGCGCCAAGTCCAGGGTCTGCTGAGGTGTTGAGTGATGGTGAAGGGGGCTTGGCCAGCCCTGCATATCCTTCACATGATAATACGAGGCTCCGGCACCGACTCCCCGATAGACTTGTGGGGCAGCACGCTGGCTCCATTGAGGTAGAGTTCATCACTGACAATGACATCCTCGCCCAGCACTGTTACGTTCTCCATGCGCACCTGGGGTGGGGAAGCAAGTCTTGTCAGTGGAGCACACAGGTTCCCTGCTCGTGTCCTCATCCAGCTCAGCTCACAGACTTACCCACTGACCCACACGGCAGCGCCAGCCCACGATGCACGACTCAAGCCAGGAGTGGGAGCGGATGTGCGCATCCCGAAGCACCGTGCACCGCCGGACACACACGCCGTCCTCCACCACCACACCGGGACCCAGACTCACATTGGGGCCAATGCTGCAGTTCTGACCAATACGGGCGCTTGGGTCCTGAGAGTGGTGAGGAAAGTCAGAGTGGGTCATTTGTCTCCCAAATCTGAAAGGATTAGTGACAGGCTGGGCAAGGGCCTCACCACAAGCACATTCCCCACAATGCCAGGGCCTGAACACAGTCTCTCTGGGTGCTTCTGTCTCAGGGACTGCAGGAAGAGGCACATGCCAGTGAGGAAGTCCTTGGGCTGTCCAATGTCCATCCAGAAGCCTGGAGGGAGAGATGAGTCAGAGGGCTCTGCCTAGCCACAGACGACCCCTCACCCTATGGCCTCTCTGCCTCACCAGGAAGTTCCATGGCATATAGCTGCCCCTCCTGGGCCATAACTGGGAAGACCTCCTTCTCAATGGATGTAGGCTTCAGCTGTGGAAGTGGGCAACTTGTGAGCAAGTCATTCAGCAGAGGCCTGCCCCCCCCCAGCCTACCCGGCAGTTCTCCACTACACACCTGGATACGCTGCAGCACAGAGGGGCTCAGGATGTACATGCCTGCATTGATCTTATTGGACACGAATACCTGCGGCTTCTCAACAAAACGGTGAATGCGGCCTGTGTCAGCCTCACAAACCACCACACCATACTTGGAAGGCTCCTCCACCTTGGTTACCTGAATATGGAGGCGGAGGGTACCTTAGGCCCAGCCCAATGTTCTTTATCCTTGATACACATGCCTATCCCACATATCAGAGGCTTTGCCCCAAAAACATTCTGCACAGCTTTGCACAACAAGGAAGAGACGCTGAGACTGAGGGTTAGCAGTGACTGGGTAAGAGGGTGTGGACACCAGAAAAGGAAGACTCGGTCTCTTACCAAGATGGAGCCCTCTTGGCCATGGTGTCGATGGAACTGCACCATGGCTTGGAAGGGAAAATCACAGATCACATCACTGTTGAGAACGAAGAAAGGGTCTTCGGTCTCAGAGAGTAGGTCTCGGGCCAATGCCAGAGGCCCAGCTAGGGAAGGGGACAAGTCATATGTTACCACTTTGGTAGAGGCCTAGGTCCTGGAGTAGACTCCAGAGGCACCCATTCAGATTGGATAACACCCTTTACTGACCCTAAACCTTGCCCCAAAGCCTTCCTTTTTCTCCTGACCTGTCCCCAAAGGCTCCTCTTCATGAGACATGGAGATTCGGATTCCAAGCTAGAAGGAAGAAGACATCTGGTTATATTCTGTCTCCAATAGTCAGCCAAGCCCCAGGGACCAAAAGAAAGGACTAAGTCCATGCATGCCTCACCCTTTGCTCCTGTGCCTTCATTTCCTTTTCCAACATCTGTGACATGTAGCTCACTGCCAAGATCACGTGGTCCACACCTGCCTGCCAGACACAATAAGGTGGGCTAGTTGACGGGCTCGGTAACGAAGCATGACCACCCCTGGCCTCCCAGTCACTATCCGTTCCTCTTCCCGCCATACCTGACCCAGGGCCTTACCGCGGCAAGCGCCTCCACTTGATGCAGCAAGATGGGCTTATTGCAGAAGTCCACCAGTGGCTTCGGGGTGCTCAGCGTCAGCGGCCGCAAGCGTGTCCCATACCCACCCACCAGGATCAGAGCCTTCATCGCGCCTGCGGGTGATAGGAGTGGGTCTCTGGCCCCAAAGCACCCACAGGCCGCCCGACCGACTCCTGCCGCGCACTCCCGCCGCCGTGCCCTGCCCCGCGTCCTTCGGCAGCCAGACTGACCGACTCTGGCCTCACCTCGTCAGCCTGCTCCACCTTGACGTGGGGTCTAGGGGCAGCCAGAACACGGAGGAGGAACTGGTTGGAGACCGGCTGGCCCAGAGTTCCGGCCGGAGGCGGCGCAGCCAGTGACGTGGCCGCGGAGAGCCAATGGGCTGCCGTCTACGTGGCAGGGCGCTACGCTGCGGCCGACGTGCCCAATGAGATTCCCAGTGCGCTGGGCTGCCATGGGGGACCCGGAGAACTCGCGGGTCAGATGCCCATTGGCGGATCTAAAGGCGGAACTGGAGGACTTGACTTGGCTTCCTATCCAC